TATATACTTTTTAATTAAAATATATTTTTAAGAATTACGGATATACAATTTTAGGTTTGGGCGAATCGACAGCACAAATCGATTATTTCATAAAATTTGTGCCTATCAATGAATATATTTTTAATATATTTAATTAATCAATTATCCAAAAAAATCTGAAGACTAATTGATAAATTCATCTGAAATGTTTCACATGTACATTATATAGAAAATATTATTCGTAAAATCAATTCTATATTTCTATGTAAAATTTACATATAGCTATCCAATCAATTTTTATAAGACAAGATTTTTTTCACCCATATAACAAAAAAGTGTCTAAAATCAGGCGTCATAAAAAATGTTTTTTGCGTCTAAAAGACGACTTAAAGACGTCTTATGTCGTAATTTTAGATTTGTATTGTGTTTGAGCAATAATATTTAATATTTAAAATTTATATTACAACAGATATTAAATTTATAGTTTAATATCTATTATTTATAAGTTCAATATCCAAAACTAGTTATAAAGATTTGCAATAAAATTTAAATATTAGTTTTACAGATTTTAATGTCGAGAATTTTAATGTTCGCCAAAGCCTAAACTATATTAATGAAATAATAGTAACAGTTATTTACTTAATCTTAATATATTTCATTACATAAACATTTATTTTTTAAATAATTTATTTATACTAAATATTACAAATACACTTAACTATATGTTGTGTGATTAACCGCCCAAAATGATTGAATGGCATTAGAGACAAATTTGTTTATATAAATAATATTGTTTTTATTATTTGTTTAAATAATTTTATTGTTACAATATATTTAATTATCCTATTATTCCTATTAATCTATTTTTTACGAGAAAGATTCAAAATTATCTAAATTTAATCGACATGAATTATTTTTTGCAACATTCGTCACATCGACATGTCAATCAGCAGTAACAATACGTCACACTGCAATAATAGCAATAACAGCGACAGCAACAACACACTACATTACAATTTCAATTAAACGAAAATGAAGAACGCCAATAGTGTGTCTAATTTTTCAGTGTGCAAACCGGGTTGGAATCACAACAATGGCAACTGCTTGCAACAGTGTCCACCCGGAACTTATGAAATCCAAAGTGACGATGATTCCGGTGCTTTCTGCACCGTATGCCATTACTCGTGCCTATCCTGCAAAGGACCTAGTGACGCGGACTGCATCGCCTGTCACGCGGATTCGACGTTTACGTGGAACAACGGAAGGTCATTGTGCGTGCTGAGTAGTATTTCCTGGAAAATGCAATCCACAGTGTGGTTCCACAGATTAACTGTGGCATTTTTAGTCAATTTGTGCTTAATGATTGCTATTATTATTTACTTTGTGTTCATCTGGTACTTCCGTAAACGAAAATCCGTTCATAAATACAGCAAAGTATCTTATTCCGGTAACGGTGAAATTCATACGGATGCAGAATTGGACAACACTTATGTCTATGAAAGCGAATGAGTCTATCAATGACGATGGAAAATATTTTTGAAAGAAAACGATGTTTTTCAGAGCATTTTGAAAATTGTATTCTACAGCTTCCAAAAATGTTAGGAGATGATATCTTATATTAAAATATTGAATATAATATTTTGGAAATATTTTTGAAATATTTTTGGAAATATTTTTAAAAATATTTTCATAGAAAAAATATATTTTTATTTTTACAGAAAATATATATAATAATATTTCCAAAATAATTTTGTTGCAAAGAGAGACAGAGAGATAGCTCGAGAATATTCTAATAATATTTCGAATAATCATATCGTGAGAATATTTTTTATTAAAAGATTTTTGTTTTAATAGCGTTTTTAGCTAAAAACTAAATGAATATTAAATATTTAAAAGTAATTTAATAGTGAATACACAAACATTTTGAGAATATTCTCTGAAAATAGAAATGTTCAGAAAATATTCTGAGGTTGTTTTAAAAAGCATCTAGTAATTTAATAAACCACAAGAAGTGATGTAAGAATTTCGAAATGTGTGTAGATATGATAAGGTTATTTTTATTATATATTGCATGTAACAATATATATATTACATATTATACATTATAATGGAATATATTGTATAATATATACATATATGACAGAATACATATATTTATAACATATTTTATAGTATATAAATTTAGCATAATAAATATAATTAACTTAATGCTTTACAAACGAACTAGAAATATAGGAATGTCAAAAATATTTAGCAAAAATTTTTCAAGAAGAAATTGTAAATACTTTTATTCCAATAAATATTCCATTTTATTTGCTATATACAAATTCAGCACCTTTCATTAAGTTTCGAAGCGATACTGCACTTTTGCAAGTATAGGAATGTCCTTTTGTAGAAGCGGTTTGCGAGATGTCTGGAACGTAAAGCGTTAATGATGCCGATAGTTTCCTTTGAGATGAAGCAATCGCTTCGTTGCGACGCCAGTATTGTAGCAATAGTTCGTGACAATGAACCGTTTATCGATCGTCGGTGAATTAATGTCTCCTGATACTGAGGAGTGATTTTATGCGATCCAATGATCTTATATCTGTGCGGTCATCCGGATATCTATTGTGCGATTAAGAATGAGAATGACGTTAGCTTGTGTGATCGGACTAACACGATCACGAATACCTAACTTTATAGACATTCAACCAATTGCAAATACATTATCATTATCTTACCTAATAGAATTAAATTAGTTTAATATATAACGTGATTTAGATTAATGTGAAAAAAAGACTTTGTGAGATAGATTGAAAGCATGAATATTAAAAAATAAATTAAAAAGAGCATACAACATTCTTAGATATTTACAGAAAGCGATATTTCATTTGTTATTTATCGGTTTATATGTAGTTAATTTCCTACATTAATAAGCAATGCAACATAATCGAATTAACGAAATTATCACGTCGCATTATGTATGTAATGTCTATATCCCGCATCATATATCAATTCGAAGTGAGAGACCGACTAGATTTATTGCAATTAAAAACCGACAATAACAATTTCAGTATTTAAACGAAACTAATGGTAAAACATATTTTTGTAAGAGCGGTTTACCTCAGTAATGTGATACAGTTGTTAGTATAAATTATAGATCATAAATCTCATTGCTACTGCAATTAACGTAATTGTTACCAGTAATTACTGAATCACAATGTTTTTGTTAACGTTGTAAACTGAATAAAATAACGAAAATAGTAATGAAAACATCAATATGATTGCTATTATTTATCCTTCGCATTATTAAAATCCTCGTAAAAGCACATCGTATATACTTCATAACACTTCCCTTTATTAAAAAAAAATCACAAAAGTTTATAAAGTAATTTTTGTTTTATTTATTTCTCAAACAATTATTAAAATCTTCACAAAATGTACACTCTATAACACTTTACTTTATATTGTACTTTATAACATTTCTCTTTATTAAAAAAAAATCACAAATTTTATAAATTTTTTATTTTCATTTTTATATTTAAAGAATGTGTAATTTTTTCAATCCTGGTATGTATGTAATACAACATCTCCGATTTTTGATATTGGTATAGTTATTTTTATTCTAATTTACAGCTTAACGCTGGATTGTCATCGACCACCAACGACCAATATTCAATGCTGAAATTGAATGAAAGACATTAGAGGTGATGAGATTTAATAAATGTAATCGCAGTAATAAACATGGAGATATATGTATAAAAATAAACAACTAGCAAACAAATTATATTTAATTTTTTTGGAATGTAATTATAACACTAAAATGCAGAATTAGATAAGTTAATGTTTTTTTTAAATCTAAATTAAGTTAAAGTTAATGGCCTATAAAATTAATAAAACTGAATTAAAAGTTCGAAGGAACAAAAAATTAAAGTTAAGTTAAGATTGAATTAATATGAGTTAATTTTATTTTAAAAAAGTTAATTTTGAAAAAAATTATTTTTTAAATCAGAGTGACCTTAATTGTTCTTACAATGAGATTATTCTAAATAACAATTACAATATAGATTATTGTATATAGGTAAGCTTAATTTTTTATTCATATTTAAGTTATTTATAATAAAAGTTAAACTATAATTTTGTCAAAATCTTGCGAGAGAGAAGGATATAAATTAGCACTATCTTTTTTTCTTTAACCTAATCTCTTCTGAAACGCTCACATTGCTTACGTATGTTTACGACTACATCGACTAAATATTTGTTACAAAAAATATATGTAAAAATTTAAAAAATGGGATATGCAGCACTGTTTTATAATAATTCTTCATCTAAGAATTATTTCATATTTATGAAAATTGTATAATATTTTATAGCACCTAAAATTAGTGTGATTCAAATATAAGTGGAAAGTGACAAAACCTAATGAGCCAATCAAAATTGACTATCATATAGCATGACTCTTATTATAAGATCTCTAATCAAAATCATTAAGCTTTTTTTAAATTAATTCTCTAATGTAAGATCTTATAGAAAAAAATATTGGCAGTAAAAGAGGTAAAAAAGTTTTAATTTAAAAAAATCAATAAATTAAAGTTTAAAAGTAACTAAATTAAATTAAAAATTAATGCATTTAAAATTAATTAGGTTAAGTTAAAAGTTATTAAATTTTTAACTTTCTTTTTTATCTTTTAACGTTTTAACTAGTTACTACCCAACCCTCCTAAAATGATGAATTTACACTACGTGCATTGTGGATAATTTTGTGTGTGCACAAAATTATCATTTCGGGCTATATTGCGTAAGTAATTAATCTGCAGTGCCGTCAAAAATCATTGCTAACGAGCGGATTCTCGTCATAATCAATTGGTTGCTTATCCTAATCAGTGAATTTATCTGACACAATCGACAGTGGGGCTTACCGCGTTACACAGACAAAACAACTTGCTAATTGTTGCCAATTAATATTCCCCAATTTCGGCTTGTTGCTGAATTGTCAAATGAAGATTCATACCCAAAGTAAGTATTATATAATAATATATGTATGTGTTTGCGGAAGAAACATTGCAATGTCAACATGGAATTAGAGCCCAAACAAAGTAAAACCGTATCAAAAAAGTTTATTTAATAATTTTTTATTATTTTTGCGCAATATTTATTTGATCACGCAAATACCAGGGTGTGACGTAACCGAAATATGGAATTTTATATTATATCTCACATGAAAGTGCATAAGAGTCAAATATTGAATCAAATGCATTGATAATCGCTTCATAAAGATCAAATGAAAACACATTGATGATGTATTTTCTGAAAAAAGGATATTTGTATTTACTGCCTACGAAAAGCTGCCTACATCAATATTCAATAGCACAACATATCAGGTTTCGTTACTAGATTTGTTATTGCAGCATGTCAAACGTACGTGGTTTTAATACGAAGTATACAAGTGAATATTATGGATAAAGGATTCGTGCATCGAGCATAAATTGCACGCCGTATTGCTTCATAATGCTACATTCAGTTAAAGGTTCAATTACACAGATAAAACACGATATACATGTTCAAAAAAAAATTCGATTTGATATCTGTATTATATATCTCTATAATTCAAACCTCGCAAGCAAAATTTAGTTAAAAAATGTATTTTTGACATTTCTTTCCTTTCAACGAAACTTATGATTATGTTATGGTCAGTCATGAAAATTTAAATCTTGCTTTTAATTAACACTATATTTATTTACAGATTACCTTAAGATTATGATAAGATGGAATAGCTTAAAATTATGATAAATAAAAAAACAATTCTAAATCATACAATCAATTTATTAAACACTGATGCGTAGTGATTGAATACATTGCAAATTATATTATTTCTGTTTCTAGAAAAATTAATAGTAGAGAAATAGCGCGTTGTGCTGACTTCACTGCATGTTTTAGGCAATTTCCTTCGCGTGAAAATTATCGGGAATTATTCGCATAAATTATCAATTTACAATTACGACCGATAATTAAAACTCGTTGAGTCCGGCAGTCATAAAAATGGTACCAGTATTTTTCTCACGATTGTGTTATCCTCCATCGACCACCGGCTCGTACTCGCTATAATTCATGAATTATAATTTTGCGTGTACTCAAACGACCATCTACGCCAACATCGCGACCGCTACTTTCGCGAATAATAAAAGTTTTCATTACGCTATTTCTCCTACGTAAAGTAAAGAGCAAACTGCTGTTGCGAGACAGCAGCTAGAGCTATCTCCATGTACGGTATGAGATGAGAGCATAAAACGACCGAATTTATATGACACGGCGTCAAAATCCACGTTATCGCAGAGACGTAAATATCCACAAAAAGCATCTACAACATCTTTTTCCAACGAACTGTTTGCGTCACAATGTACTTTTTAACACACACACACACACACACACACACACACACACACACACA